CCCCCCCCCCCCTTGCCCCATCCCCTTTCATCATTGACATCCCCCTTTCATCATAGTTTGAAAATGTATTTGGAATATGTTTAACTTAATGTTTAAGTTCCCTGTTTAAGAAATAAAAAAATATGAGTCGTTTCATTTCATGGGAATATCCTGAGTCTGCAATCGCGGCTTCAATTTTTGAATTGCAGAGTAATTAGGTACACTAGCTAGTATATATGAGATATCTATGATAGCTACTTGTTGAATAGAAATTGAATGAATTCTTACCTTATATACTACTACTCCATACGTAGAAATTTCAATTGAGTACCACGTCCCTTTATTGGTAGGAATCGATGAGAATATAATGTACACTGTCCCTTGCGCAAAAGCGCTGAAATGCACACATTTGTCGCGGTTGGCATCGTTTGGATCAAATCTAAATGGATTGGACCACTTTACATTGCATGGAGTATGGAGTGTCGTTGTTGTACTCGTTAGTCGCGAGAACAGAGTTGCAGCTGGCCATTCGATACGAGCAAGAACTTTATCTGAAGTTGACAAAAATAATTTTCATTTTCAATTACTGCGACCAAGGTAAATGATAACTATCTAAAATGTCATTTTACAACCAAAGTACTTCGAACATTAACATATTTTACAAATAGATTGGCGCCTCATCTGCACAATTTTTCACAGTATTTTCTATTAGTGCTTAAAAAATTAAAAATTCTGAAAAAATTCTATGTAGATTTTTGGCATGCATATCGAACATAAGAACAAATTAGGCTATATACGATAGAATATCTTTGTATTAGAAATCCCATCTATGCCGGATATGATGTCGCGAGAGAACTTTTAGCAGGAAATTTTCCATCTAAAAATAACATTATTCATAACCTGCATCTTCTACAATGAACCGATTTAATGAAACAGACAATTTACAACGAAAATATATATCATTCACTAAGAATAACCCAAATATTGCACCTAAAAAAAATCATTTTTGGAGTTAGTGGAAATATGTACGGCAAATAGTTTTATTACTAGAATTACATGCATGCAAGCAACCCCTCGCCTTTCTTAACAAATGAAGTATATATAAATTCCATGCACATAAAGTGATTTTATGACAAGAAATACATGCATGCAGCAACCCCTCGCATGTATTTTTCAAACATTGATTAAACATGATGTATTAGTAATTGATCAACACTGAACCTGTGACTGAACGCATGCTCGCGTTTACGGCAGTGTTACCATGGCAACACTATAAATTTAATTTTTATTATATTTTTATATTTTTTGTACAACACGCCAAAAATAGTTGAAAGATCATTGCTTTTAACTATAAAACAATGAATTTCCAAAATATGTACTGTAGGTATATTGTTCTGCTTTTTGTGAGCTTTGATTTAATGTAAAATTTAACGTGAATCGCTTCGTAAAATGTTTTGAAATGTTCGTTTTAATATTAAACTATATACTGCTTTTTCTGCTATAAAACTGTATGGGTTTTCATATTGTTTATAAAACAAAATAAGTTCAAATTGTCGAGTAATATCAGTTCGGTTTTCAAATGAATTAGCTCTTCTTCACATTTCACCATTTATTCTTAAATTAAACAGGGTAATTTAGCAACTTTAGTACAGCTTCGTTGAAAAGGAAAGCAGTGCTTGTTTTGCGCAATAAATTAAAACAACAAAATTCATAAACATTAAACATTCAAAGCAAACTTGCCCTATATTCCAAGATTTTCCACAGTAAATCAATTCTTCTCATTTCTTCAAACAAAAATTGCTTCATAGCTCATTGTGTGTAACGAGATTTTCCAAATATATGCTTTTGAAAATTGAAATCTTGCTTTAATATCCCACTCCTGGCAAACAGCCATACTTTTTAGATCAGTGAGGATGACCACTCACGGTTGGTACCGACTCCCGCGCTCATTGATAAACTTTAGACTTGGCTAATGCTTTTCTTTCCCGGGTATAATTAGTTGGGGGGGGGGGAATTAGTACCCTCGCAAGGCGCTTCGCGCCGTCGGCTTGGGGACTAAAACAATAGAGGGAGCAATGGTAACGTGAACATAATTCTATAGCTGAATATTAACTTCTTATCGATCGAACGCGAGGTGTGCACAGAGAAATATCGGTCCGGGATATTTGTTGTACAAACCGAGCCCGTAAGACGAGGTTTATACAAAAAACTGAGGTCCGATATTTGTCTGTACATACAAAGCAAGCGAGGTTAATAAAACTTTTATTATACGATATTTAATATTTAACTAGAAAATACATGCACGCAGCGACCCCTCGCCTTTCTTAACAGATGAAAAATGCCGCATAAAGTATTAAGACCATTATAAGCAAACATAAAAATACAACTGATGCGCTAGTTTATTAAGCGATATTAACATTCGCTGCAACTTCATGTATGTCAGCTTGCGTTAAAGCACATTATTTATTGTGAATTATCGAGTTAATGGCTTAAAAATTTCTGAGATACAGTAAGAATAAAATCGACGTACAAAGCAAATATATGCGGCATGGAATTTTACTACTAAAGTGTTTACACTAACCCAAACCGGCACAACAACGATTAAATTATTAAAAATATCAACATCAAAACATCAAAATAATGATTTAATACAAACTTTGTTTCACGGTGGAACGGCCACTAATTTATGAAACTGCAGGCTTAATTATTTCCAGTTCAAATCGAAAAAAACAATTGTACTTTTGTAAACTTTTCATCGAAACTTAAAACCAAAAATTGCAGTAAAACAACAAAATACGTCCTTTCACAATGAAAAACAATTACTTAGACAGAGTGTATGCTCGCGCGTGACGTAGAAAACCGTCCATGACATAAACAAAATGGAGGACAGCTTTGCACTTCGCTATGTTTTCACATACACGGGTATAATTATCCGTCCGGAATTACTAATTAGTTACTATATCGCGGGCACAAATATAAAACATTTTTCGTGTTGATATTCAGTTAGAACTACATCAATAGGGGAAAAAATGTTATATTTGTTTTATAATATATATATATATCACAAAGAAATATAATGAAAGAAATTTTCCGAAGTTTCTGCGTTGACATTGAGTTAGCCTATATCAGCACGGCTCTTAGTCAATCAGCGTTCAGAATTTACAAATGCTGTGTAATAAAGGCATTTATACTTCAAACGAAAACGAAATACATGATTTAAAATGCATATTATTATGCACATGATACATAATTTGTTCGAGGAAAACATACCAACGTATTCGTTCTTTTCCACTAAAACTATTCGCAGATATCTTCAGAATTTACAAATGCTATGTAATAAAGGCATTTATGCTTCAAACGAAAAAGAAATACATGATTTGAAATGCATATTAGTAGTGTGATATATAATTTGTTCGAAGAAAACATACCAATGTATGCGTTCTTTTCCACTAAAAACTATTCGCAGATATCTTATTAAATTATAATTTTCAAACTTTCAATCAGCACGGCTCTTAGTTAATCAGCGTTCAGTATTTACAAATGCTATGTAATAAAGGCATTTATACTTCAAACGAAAAAGAAATACATGACTTGAAATGCATATTAGTAGTGTGATACATAATTTGTTCGAAGAAAACATACCAATGTATTCGCTCTTTTCCACGAAAACTATTCGCAGATATCTTACAGAATTTACAAATGCTATGTAATAAAGGCATTTATTTAAAAAAATCCTGGTTTCTGATTGGCTAACAGCCAACTGTGAAATTGTCATATTAACTCAATGGCTAACCAAATACGGATTTTTCGCATTCATATTAGCAAAATGACGTCAAAGAGTCAATATGAAAAAAAATTGGACGCGTTTGCGCCATATTACTATGACGACGAGAATTATATTGACTCGCTGGCCATGGCGCCATTGATAAGACGATGACGACGGCTGACGAAGAACTAAGGATTTGTTTTTTTATTCAAATAAAATACAAATTTGTCTGTTTTGAATTTTTTAAATAAATAATAAAACAATTATCGAATTCGGTTTTCGCACAATATGAAGTATTATCAAACCCTCAGTTTGCCGTTATCAACCTCAGCTTTCGGCTTCGGTTGATAACGGCAAACTTCGGGCTTGATAATTCTTCATATCGTGCTCAACCTCATTCAATAATTGTTAATTTTACTTCAAACGAAATGATTTAAAATGCATATTAGTAGTGTGATACATAATTTGTTCGAAGAAAACATACCAATGTATTCGTTCTTTTCCACTAAAAACTATTCGCAGATATCTTATTAAATTATAATTTTCAAACTTTCAATTTGTTAAATTTTTACGTAATGGATCGCCTGTCCATTACGGGAAGATAATTTACCGCTGAAAGCGCTTTTGAGCTAAACACAGACCGCTATTTCAACGGAAGAGATGATTGCCATATTATAAAATATTGTGAAAACCTTGCGTTTTCTTTGCAGACGTCAGGACACTTCGCAAAATGAAAAACAACTTTCCTTCGAGCTTGTGCTTGCGCATGCGCATAACATCGGAAACCGCCCAACCCATAATGAAGGCGACTTTATACTTGTCCTGAAATACCCTGGTATAAATAGCCGTGCTGAATTATTATCGTTGCACTGGGCTTACACCCGCAACGGCTCTAGCATCGTTGGCTTGTGGATTATTTTACCTTTCAAATGCTTGTCTATATTTGTAAAATACTTGCTAGATTCGTCGTAATCTGCACTTGCGAGTGTAAGTGATCCATCCGATTCAGCGTAAGTAAGAACGAGTCCAAGTATGGAGATTTTATGATTAGAAGAAGTATGACTACCACCATTGGAAAAAGCCCTGAACCAGTGAAATTTACCATTTTCGTTTGCGGTTACCCACCAGTAATTACTTGAAAAATAAATAAATATTAACATTGCAATCAATTGAAATACAACCCTGGGGAACCCTTAAAAAGTAGAATGTTATCCTCACTTGCGTTTAGTCAATCTTGACATTGATTTTTCAATATTGTTTCGACTTCCGCGAAGCTCAACGTCCATGTCAAAAATAACATGAAATACTTCTTCTTTAAATATATCGTTCCATCTTGGAATGGCAAGTGAACCTTCCAGGTCCTGAGTCTCACATCCTCCATCCCCTGCTTGGAGATTTACATCTGTTGCTGAAATTGGTCCCTTGTAATGAAAGTAAAAACAATGAGGAACATGTTTGTTGCACTAATGGTTTGACTAAAACCTAAAGGCGATATTAGCCTAATATATAATTTTAATGACAATGTGTGACAGAAATACATCATGCTAAACGATTGCAAAACGTAATTATTTCGTGGGTATATGTTGCGCTACGAATGGATAATTGAAAATGTAACAAGGAAGATTGATGGTTGATGTGCCGTTCGTGGTTGATGTGCCATTTAATTAAATTTCAAATGACGGGAGCCAACAAATCACGACACTTTTGTAAATAAAAAGGGCGCGTGAGTTGAACAAGTTACATATTATTAGCACTGATGAAGATTCGGTCTTACGGATCGAAAGCTTTGCAATAATAAATTTACGTGGTGTTTCCACAAACAAAACTATGATATGTTTTATCGCCATGCAAACGTACGAAAAGCTTAGTAAGTAGCCTGTTGACGACTTAAAATTATCCCTAATAAAAGTGCGAAACGCTCGTTTGTGAAAACAATCCATGAGTTAATGCAATTTTTTCAGGAACTGAATTTATTAGTATGATTGATAGCGAATACATGTTTGACATTTAACTGGTTGCCATGAACTGATACATACTTCAAATTTCAAGAGTCATCATAGCCTGCCCACATATACGTGTTAAATATTTTACCCCCGCGCGTGGCGCTTTGGCATGCATTGAGTCTGCTCAGTTTACTACTATGACATAATAATTACAAACTGAGTAGAGTCGGTGCATGCCCGAGCGCCACGCACGAGCGTATAAAATTTAACACGTATTTTGGGGCTGCCTATGGAGTTTTGGTACACGTAAGACAATGTGAAAATTCATGCACGCATTTTACTCCACATTTTTGGTTGCTTCATACCTCCTCCATGTATGCTTCTATTGCAGCTTTCAAACTCGCTCTACGTTGCTTTAGTTTAATTTCCAGCTCATTTCTGCTTGCAAAGTCGCAGTAAGTTTTATTTACTCCACCAGTAACTGTTCTGTGGTAGTAATGTTTTCCTGTGCTCTCTTCCTTTACAAGATTTTGGAAATTTTTCTCACATCCCCAGTCGATAGCATCATCAGGAAATAAATCAGCCGCGCGGAAGTCAACTAGGTCTGTGATTGATCCCATCAGAAACTTAAATGCTTTCGGGTAGCTGTCAATACTATCAAGCCATTCCTGAAAAATATCATAGAAAGAAGATAAAGGCAGCTCTTTTCCTTTAGCAGCTGCCGCGATAAACCTGATAGAATGTATAACGCACGTTAGTATAAATTTTGCATATAAATGAACTTTCGCGCGTTCTGATTGGCTAGTTGACTAGTAAATCTGAGGCATTAGTTACTAGCAGATTAGTAAATAATGCTTTTCAAAAAGAATGATTTGGTAAATTTGGTTTTAAAATGGACAAAATATTGAAAAAATCGCCCTCAGAAAACGGAAGATGCACAAAATGTTGTATTTAACTTGAAAGGTAGGATTCCTCATTATTTTACTGTGTCAAACAAATTCACGGACAATTTAAAACTTATTAATAAAACTCCGACATATTCATTTCAAGCAAATAGCAAAATTTATCCCGACTGTTGGAAAACCTTGCTGTGATGTTCTTGTAAAACCATTTTCCTTTGTATCCTATACTAGATATACTGGTAATCACTTCGCCTTCGGCAAATAATTGTTAATTATAATTTATCGCACCCATTAATTGGGTATACCAAATACACAGTCTTTTTCAAGATTCATTGTTAATTAAACGCTGAGGTGACTTTCAAGAGAGTTGGTAAATTCCATGTAGCGCTCCTTACTTTGATTAATATATTATATGACTGATTAGTAGTCATAGTCAGGGTATCTGTTGCCTGTGTTCGGCAACCGGTCCGCAATGAAACATTTATTGACCAGTCAATTATAAAATGGGTGCAATACGCATTCCATTTATACGGCGTTCCATTTATCCAGTTTTGGTTTCAAATTAAGTTCACTCCAATAACCGGTGAATTATTCATACTTTGACACTTATATACTATATAACAAAACACTTATTTACTGAGAACGAGGGGAAACAGTGTGTTTTGTTGCCCCTCGACTGCTGTAGTTGCAGTCGAGGGGCGGTCTCGGGTCCACAAAACACACTGTTTCCCTCGGTCTCAGAAAATAAGTGATAATACATAAGTTTAATGTTTAGTTACTTTTGTTCTATTCAGTCTATGCTTCTGTAAACTACAACAATCATAACTAAGCATGTGAGTTATCCAAAGCTGTGCATTGGGTAGCAACGATATAAACAACGGTAGCCAAATTTGTCTATTGGCTTCATTTTTTATGGAGTCTATCCACTGATCTCATATTGACAGGATAGACCCAATTGAAAATGAAACTGATCTAATAACAGACTGGATAGTCATGTTTGCCAGCTGTTCCTGGGTAGGATTAAAGTGCCCCGCTCTGGCAAGTATAAGTTCACTCTCGTTGATGGTAAGCCTCGTGAGGTGACAACTTCTGAGGTGATTACAAATGTATTCATTACACTAATCATTTTGTACAACTTTCTGTATTCCCCGCCTTTCTCCACATGCAAAATTTCCCAGGCCAGCAAAAGAACAGTTCTTTTCCATGACTCAAGCATGCACAAAGTAAAAATAGGAGCTGCTATCAAAAATAACTAGCAAGCTAGTGATGCAGTTCTACTAGTGAGAATGTAGATTTCAAAGTCAAAATACTAGAACTTTCCCACTTCCGCTTTTCAGGTTTGTTGTCTCTTAGTGAATTTCTGTTATTGTAGCGGTTAACAATTATAGGGAAATACGACGACATAAGTTAAATTTCGAAACCTTTATGTGTTCATATGCAGTGAATCAAACGAAAAATGCATCCTTTATTTCAATTATTCAAATTATTACAAAAATCAAAGAAACTAAATTTTATCGCCATATTTCTCCATAATTCGGCAACCGCTACAATATTAAATACAAAACAAAATAGTAAATGACAACAGACTAGAAAAGTGGAAGTGGGAAGGTTGTAGTATTTTGAATGCAATTATGTACAAAAATATGTTGCATCCATGCAGCAAGAATTAATGTCCGACCTTTCCGGCAAAATTTCCATTTACAGGGACAGAAAAAAATTACGAGAAGAGTTGAATAGAAAAGTTAAAGCACCGAACACTTTTTATATACAGCCAGAGATACTGATTTGAAATTTGCTACAACCACAGAAAGTACTGCCCGTTTATACTTTAAAAAGATCTATAGCAGTTGTGAAATTATTCATGCGAATAAGCCAAGAATGGTTAATATTGTATTTTGAATGTTTCTATGTTGTGAAGTAGAACCAGGATAATAAACCAGCTTATTTAACTTTTTAATTAACAAACAAACAGCTAAAAATAGACCCAATTTGGAGATTTATAACTTTTCAGAAAATTGCTTGCAGACGAGTTTTATTCCTAATTACTTAACTTTAGTAGGTATACTTTCAAATTACATGCCTTTTACACTTCAGATAGGTGCCAATTTTGAGATATTTTAAGTAAAATATGAGCAATTTTCAGCCTCTCGTCGCCATCTTGAAAACATAGTTTCGTAAAACTGTTAAAAAATCGTATTAAGCAAATAAAGTTGTTCAATCTCCATGAAAACGAGAGTATTAGTGCTAATCTTGCATGTGAACAGTAACTGGAGGAGATAACACATTATAAAGTTTTTAAAAAATCAGTTGAATTATTGTGAAATTTCCTTCATTTCCGGTCTGAAAATATTCTCGCAAGGTCAGATTTCAACATGGGCTATAACTCCTATAAAACAGAAAGTTGAAGCATCTTAAAGAAGCTCGATTAAAATTGACCAAAGTCTAGTTCATATGCCAAATATGAGCTAAATCTATTTTTCCTTCCCCAAACCAGTGGATGGATTTTACTGAGAGGTCCTCTTAAGTATTGCATGTGTCTTCCGGTGTGCCGAAGTACTTATACTCATGGATACTGTATGTAAGATACAGCCAAAAGAATCTCCGTGGAGTCCCCAATTTAAGGTGGCTTTTCGACTAAAAATGACTGTAGACCCCTTTAAAAAGCATGTTTTACGCATGTTTTACGCAATAATTTCATTCCTCCAGTAAATTTTTTCCGAATCTTTAACAAATTAAGAATTTTTAGTGTTCCGGTGTTCAGTGTTCCGGACTGATGCTGTTCCGGTGTTCCGTATTCCGGTGTTCCGTTGTCCGGTGTTCCTGGTTTTACTAATAGCCTACCTTTATAACTTTGATTTAATTATTTTGGAAGAATGCAAGATTTAATATATAACTAGCATGTTAGACTGATTTTTTATTTAACCACAAAAAAGTAATTTCTCGTAAAGAACTTGCTAATATTAGTAAAATTGCAACATTTGGTTACAAAATATTGTATAATACGGAGATTATAGCTTTGCGAAGTTTACATATTTCGTATATGTAGGCCTACTGTCCCGAATATTGTAGAAAGAAATAGCATCCGGAAATTGCTTTTTTTGGACCACATACGATCTTTAAATTATATTATAAAATAACATGTATATAACGCATAACGCGTGTTCTGATTGGTCGAAACCCGTGTTTGGATCAGGCCATCCAAACACGCGGAAGACTATCGTGTTGTTGTTAATTTATAAAACAATTACTTTATGGTTTCTGTGTTTGGATTGCCTGATCCAAACACTTGGGAATGTGGCTCGAGTTAAGAAAAGCGGGCGAAATTACCCGCCTTCGGCTCGTAATCTCGCAACATCCCCGCGTGTTTGGATCAGGCCATCCAAACACGGAAACCATAAAGTAATTGTATAATAATATTACATGAATAAATAAGGTAATAAAGAACTTACGACAAGTGTATTTTTAAACGTTGGTGCGTATAGGTCTGTCACTGCTGCAGCAATTCTTTGACTTCCCCCTAGTGCTTGAACTGAAGTTGACATAAATTTCTGTTCTGATTTTTCCTGTGATCCACCTTTAGTGCTGCTATACGCACCACCACTGGCAAAAAGACTTTTGTATTCCATCTCTGCTTCCACTGCAAATTCCCGTTTAGATGACGTTGATAGACCATTTTGGAGCTTTCGTATTTCCAACTGGCCACCAAATTTGGCTGATTTGATATAATGAGTACCCCATCGAGATATGAAGTCACCTAAACGATAAGCATTTACTTAAGCATGATTGTGTTAATTTTAATTTATCCATTGGTAGAAAATGAACGACAGTCAGCGCCACACATCGCGGGCGTCAAAATACGCGTCAACGACTGACCGCGCTGATTAAAAGAATGATAAAATTGATCGGATTCATACATATATATCTTATATACGCTAGATAGCGCATATCACTTAGTAAAATTGAAGTCAAGAATATTCCAGCGGTTACCCCCATTTGAATAGAGGCCATGTTGGAGTTTCGCACTCGCTAATAAACGCTTAAAAACAACAATAACTTTCATCATTCGAATAGTTTGAATATATATTTGGAATAGGTTTAACTTAATCTCTAAGTTGCCTGTTTAAAAAATAGAAAACATACGAGTCTTCTCATTTCAGAAGAATATCCTGAGTCTAAAATCACGGCTACAATTTTTGAATTGCAAAGTAAGTAGGTGCACTATCTAGTGTATATAAGATATCTATGGATTCATACGAGTGAATGTATTAATAATAATAATAATAATATAATAACGAATTTATTGTAGCCTTCCATTTTACATGGCTCTTCATCTACAATGTAACTACTTATTTACTACTTATATACTACTTATAATATATGCTA